ATTCGTTCGTTGGTTCGTTTTATCTTTGGACTATCTCCTCAGAGAACTCAATGCGAGTCGGATTGCTTGTTCTCACAGCACGAGAATTTGAATGTTTCGTCCACAATTTAATCAGAGTGACATTTCCGTACGCCGATTCGAAAACCGATTATTAATGAGTACAAATAATGTTGATTTACGAAACTCATTTCCCTTCTGTCTTCTTTTTGAAGAAAGTAGTACAGGAACAGCGAATCAGGCGAATGGTAGCTCGCCGTAGAGGTGAACAGTATGGTTAAATTGAAACATCGGCAGTTCCGGTAAAGACTGCAACCATCCGTCTGATTCGTTGTGTCTAAAACCAGTGAAAGGCCGGTTTATAGAAATAAAGTTTTTGCAGTTCAGCGTAAGAAGAGGTTGCTCAACCTTTGATCGTGTACGATATCTGCCCTACCTTCTTGATTATTGCAGTCGGCGGATGATTTATGTTCCTTGATGTTTCGCCGTCGCATACCGTCCCGTACATTAATCATACCTGTGTCTCTGATGATATTAACACAATGTGAGTTGACGAAGACGAAAAAAGATCTGTGAACCTTCGAACCGGTAAATGCGGAAGAAACATGCCAAAATAGCCATATACTTTCTGCGCAGTGCGACGCTTGCGGCACAGGACTGGTGCCTGTGGCCTAATGCTACCTACATCTTTGCCAGTCGCCTGCAAATTACGAATTACGTACGCAACAGAATCGATTGCAGATAGCCTACAGGCATCTTAGATCGTTCATTTTGCCAGCGAGGTAGATTCTCCTCTCCAAGACTCGCTTCATTTCCTCTGTACCGATTTTGAGACGATTTTAACGTTTCCACAGCTCAGTTTATGGCGACCTAAGATACAGCGGAAAATCGGTCAATCATTCAGCACTGACAAACATCCGCAACCTTAAAGTATACGTAGTCGACTGTTTGCGTTGTCGTGACGCGGTCTGGTTGAAGCACATCAGCTGTTCGATGTTGACGGGCTAACATGTCACGAAGCGGAGCGGTCGGACTGCCAAAAGGAGATCGGCAGTTATTTTAATGCCACCTCTGGTGGCAGCGTCTATAAAGCTGCTACTTATGAGCACATCAAAGATGCCGTTAGTTCCTCAGCGAAAATTGTAATTGGGGTCGGAAAGGGAATAGCCACACGCCCTGCGTGACGGAAAAGGTCCTACCCGTACAGTGCACAGGAATCAGGCAAAGAGGAAATACTTGCAGTACGCTACCTCACCCTCGAAACAGCTCATTTCCCTCTCGTTCGTTCAAGTAACGGAAGCTATAAGCGGGAAAGGGAACTTTCTCTGGAAAGAGAAGTCAGGAAGAACGACAAGGCAGTCAGAAAGGGTGAATGGTGAACTGTGTTCAAGGGAGTGGGATAGCTGTTCGGTAAGCAGAGGACTCGACCTCTCCGTATTCAAGACGTTGACGACATCCCATAGACAGGTCGTAAGGAACGTCTCAACAATCTGCTGATCATTTTCAGCATCTGCTTAACTGCTACCGTTCAAATTCGTCAGTTACAAACTTTAACTTTTTACCAACACCAGAGGTTAGTTCAGAGCTACAGGCAAAACTAAAACTTCGGAAAGCCTTGGTACACCTCAGAGTGAATAAGAGGTGGATCGAGTTCTTCTGGAACAGTTAAGTATGAAAAAGCACCTCCATGCTCTATGTAATCAAACATAGACCTACAA